AACGAAGCAGCTATAGTTAAGCGGTGAAACCCAAAGCTTCACCGATTGTCAGTTCTATCAAGGCTTCCGTGTCATGCGCGCGGTAGCGGGCGGAGCTAAACTGGTGTATTATAAATTAGTACTAGAATTATGCATAATTTCCCTGGCCACTTCATATACATATTAAATCCTTCAAAAGACAATTTTCACAACATATCTCGCCGATTAGTGTGGAAAGCTAGCCAGCTTATCTGCTTTTTGCCTTCTGTATGTGAGAGTCCAGTTCCTTCGAGATTTTTTTCAAGCTTTATTTTAATGGTTACCGATTGAGAACTTTGAAAAGGCTGCATAGAGGATCGACTATGGGGTGAACAGTTTATATTTCCTCAGTCTACGTTGCACGTGAGTGGCAACTTTGGTACTCTACCCGATGTCCCTTAAAGATTTCCCATCAGACTAGCTGCAGTTCGGCAGAACGTCGTCGTCTCAGCGAGCGAGAAGGTGATGGCTCTCAGACATTTTCATAAAGGCATTCCCATAAACTTGTGAAGATTCAGAAAAACGGAGTCTGAGAGTTGGTTGAGCTCAAATCTGCTCTATATAAGTAATATTCCCATTGTCTTCTCAAAGTTGAACATCCAGCATCTTTACCGGCGATTGGGAGTGGGTGCAGATGGAGTAGCAATTCACAAGTCGTACAGTACAAGTAGCAATAAGTGCTGAATTTTGACTTCGTCCAAGTCGAGTCCTTCTATTTTCGGCGGAATACAAAAGGAGCTGAGCAATGCAATTTCTACATGCAGATGCCACAGTCAATGCGGGAGCTTTGATCCGTCGCTCGTTCGCAACCTTCCTGAGGTGAGAAGTAAAAGAGGCAACATCCACTTTTCCATGACACTGCTAGGCCACTTGTTGCAGAAAAGTTTTTTGAAACAATTTTTTCTTTTTTTCTCAGGAAAAAAATTTGAGATTTCTTGATCGGGCTGATCTTCAGACCCAGCAGAGGCCTCCCCTGCGCTTTTCTCTGCTCCATCTCCTAGTGAAGCAATGATACCTGAATACCATGACTTCAAATAGAAATTTAATCTTCCTTTGACTAGGAAACTTGTGAACCTTCACAAGATGCAAGAGGCGATAATACCTACTAAAATAGGCAAAGCGATAATAATGGCGGTACATAGTAGTGCGTTGGAGGCGAGCAAATGAAAAGCTCAGAGGGCGGATTGATTTGTGAGACATCATCCCAAAATTGACCAATCACTTTTGCAACTTTCCAATATCAGTTATTTATTGTTTCCCTGGAGTACTTGCTCTTCCATACATCCATTTTATAGGAGTGCAGAAGTGGGGGTACCTCACTAGTGGAAGTCAGCACAGCCTTAGCTGCTAAAAGTACGCATGGAGAGGGTGATCGTGGCGGTTGAATTGTTGTTGGCGCACAGGGAGCTGGTCGCTAACTTTCTTGTGCATTTCCGTGGACTTCTGATCAAAGGTCTGGTGTCAGTTTAAGATCATGTCACTTAGGAGGGAGGTCGTTCAGGGGTGGAGTGCTTTTGAGGGTAGTATGCGTTATTAGGTTGTTCGAAATTAAATGCGGGTTTTTGACCCCTATTTTCATAGAGGCATATTTCCACTCAAATTCCACATTTTCAGTCGTAACGAAAATATTTGAAAGCAAGCAAGCAATTTTTCTCAACAAGTTGCATACTCGAATGTCCATTTTCGAATGTGCATTTCTTACTCAAGATGTTGTGGAGACGGTTGGAAAAGGGGGTAATAGGGTATCTGTTGTTTGGCTGATGCTTCGTACGCCATTTTGTTCAATACTTGCGAGGTCGTTTATGGGACGTGTGGCTGAGCGCCACCATGAAGGAGGGTTTGTTTACTTCTCTCGGTTGACGAACTTGATGTTTCTAGAGCATCTCATCGGTATGCTGGAGAGACATTGGTGTTGTTAAATTCACCTGGTTTCCAAGAGCTGTTTGCATCAGTCCCGTGGAAGACCGCCGAATGTTCAGCTCAACTTAATCTTCTACAATTTCGGCTTTAGAGAAGTTTTTGAAGATTCATCGCGGTCTATCTTCTAGAGAAATTACTTCTTGTCATCGTGAAAAGTTTCCGTCGTAGATGATAATGGGTTCTGAATACTAGAAGTTTTTGGAATGTAAAATGCGTGAAGACGACCTCTAGGGATAACGGTTGCTATTGCTTCTGTCAGCCCATGCGGTAGCTACCTCTTCATTTTTTCAGCTCCCTAGTTACCTTCAGAAGCCACTATATTTTCAATATACCACTTCTAGTCCTACTGCTTGCTATAGCACAGTTAGTCTGGAATCATCTTCTACGGGAATCTTCAGAAGGCCGTCGTCAACAGCAGAAGCATGCTCATGACTCCCCTCACCTTCACTATGGAATTCTTTGAACCAAAATTTTGGAGCCAAGGCTGTGCTGCGTTTTTGTTGGTGCTTCCTTGGCCCCATCCTTCAGTGTTATTTCGACAGGTCTATGGAGCACTACCTCAGAGTTTCAGCACATCGAAAAAAAAACTTGCCCAAACCACTGTCTTGACACCTTCATTCAAGTTTAAAAAAACCTAAGATACAAGTCAAATTGAAATTCAAATATACTATTGGAAAAAGCTAGAATAGCCTTACAAATGCCTTATATAGCGCCTCAGGTCTCAATGGAAATTCTAGGAATATTCCCAGTATGCATCTCGAAACACGCATATCTTTCCAAACAGCCTAATAAATGATGCGCGTCAAATAGTGTGTGCAGGTCACCATGCTCTACTACACGACGAGCACTTCGAGTGTCTTTTATTCATGTTTAAACTCCTTTTTCAAGGTTTTAATTGAAACTTGGACTTGAACAACTTGAAAATGACACCAGTCGAATAGACCTCCAAAGCTCTCGGTATCCTGATTACAAATACAACACTTTTGACGCTAGTCCCATCTAGCGCCTATTTTCTACTCGTCTGCGTCCAATAGGATCGCGATCAGGGCTTAGCCTTTGGAAAGAGGTCTCCGAGGTGAGCAAGCCATTCCCGTGAGATCACATACTTGAACACTTGCCACATGGTGCGGGGCAGGGTCAAGCGAGGCGTCGAGGAAAATTCGGAAATACGACCCCCCTCCCTCTGCCAAGGCCGAAGTCCATGAAACAACCCTCTTCAAAAGCCGAACTATGAAAAAGTTGTTTAATTCTCCACCAAAACTGCTTCATAAAAAAGCCCTGCTACCCCACCGTCCACAAAAAAATCGTTTAAGAAGTACAAAAGTGAACTTCGTAGGTCTTTTATTCATGTTTAAACTCCTTTTTCAAAGGTTTTAATTGAAACTTGGACTTGAACAACTTGAAAATGACACCAGTCGAATAGAACTCCAAAGCTCTCGGTATCCTGATTACAAATACAACACTTTTGACGCTAGTCCCATCTAGCGCCTATTTTCTACTCGTCTGCGTCCAATAGGATCGCGATCAGGGCTTAGCCTTTGGAAAGAGGTCTCCGCGAGGCGTCGAGGAAAATTCGGAAATACGACCCCCCTCCCTCTGCCGAAGGCCGAAGTCCATGAAACAACCCTCTTTAAAAGCCGAACTATGAAAAAGTTGTTTAATTCTCCACCAAAACTGCTCATAAAAAAGCCCTGCTACCCCATCGTCCACAAAAAAATCGTTTAAAAAGTATAAAAGTGAAAAAGTCAAAGAATGATCATTAATGACGAGTCCTGTCAAACGAGCAAACGAGAAACGGAGCAAAAAACGTCAAACTAGTCACTAGAAATGGCGTACTATGACAACACCTCTTCTTTGTTTATTTCCTCCACAAGACTTACCAAATTCTAGTACTACACAGATTATGGTTCTCAATTTACACGTCCCCCTTTCGCTCAAAGGAAGCCTTGTAAAAGCCTTCGCCAGCTGTGTGTTGACTGGACTTTGGCGTTGACCGTGGAGCAGCTTATTTACTATTGAAATTTGAACAAATATTCAAATGATTATAACTTTCTTCAAAGTTAACGAATTTTCAATCTGAAAGCTGATTTGGGAGTTTTGTGAAGAGCTTTTTCTAATCAGTACTGAAATTACAGGAAGTTATAAGAAATAACAAATTTAGATCAAATAACGAGGAAAATTCGAGACGAGCACGAGTTTTTACACTTTCCGGAGCAATAACTTGCTTCATTTCCGTCAAATTCAAAAAGTTGATACGTCATACAAAACTAGAAGATTTTCTTTATTCGTATTTTTTCGTATTATTTATTTATTTATTTATTTATTCATTACGCTATGTAAGACAGCGTGAGAAAACAAATATAAGTATATAAAACAACCACTGTAGTAAAATGAACAACAGAATACCTAAGGCGAAACGATTAGACCCTAGACACTACACATCTATGCATGTAGTATTTGCTTTGCTGCAGCACGTTTGAAGGATGCACAAGAGCTTTGGATGGATATAGATTTGGTAATACGCAAATACGACAGCCCAGCTCTAATAGTGAAAAAATTCCGCCTAAGGTTGGTTTTAGGCCTATGGAAGGATAACTTGAAATCTCCACCCCTGGTTCTGGATGGAATGAGGTCGTAAAAGTTAGTAAAGTTGATAAGGGTTCGATAACAAAGAAGTCTGTGTAACATGCACAAATCAAAAAGGTCACGTCTGGAATGCAAGGAAGGAAGATGAAAAAATTTATTTCTTATCACAGCATTTGGTACTCTAGCATACAAAAAACCACCACGCCGCAAAAGTACCTTTCTGGTGAAGTTATTTTGGACCTTCTCAATGAGAGCCATATCTTTCTTCTTATGAGGGCAAAAACAACTGTTCCATTCTCTACCAACGGCCGTACATAAGTCTTGTATACTCGGATAAGGACCTTACTATCGTTTGTTGTAAGGGCCTTGAAAATTTGGTATGTACGACAAAATGCTTTTTTGTGAATTTCCTTGTAGTGATCACAGAAATCAAGTTTGTTGTTATATAAATAACCTAAGTCCTTAACCTTTTCAACTTTACGAATCTCTTGGCCATTTATAAAATATGAAGAAGAGATGGCAGAAGAAGCACCTATACGCATGTGAAAAGTTTTGGTCGAGGAGAGAGGGATCTGCCAATCTTCAGACCACTGAACAAGACTACTAATAGAATTCTGTAATGAGACTGAGTCTTGTGGAGAATCGATTACTTTGTAGAATTTGAGGTCGTCGGCATATTGTTTGGCAGTAACTTCGTCATTATAACCGATATAGGCCAAATCAGCGGAGTAAATATTAAAGAATATAGGAGAAAGAACCCCGCCTTGAGGAATTCCACTGTGAAGGCGAAATACATCAGAGTATGAAGTGTTTATACGTACTTGGTAGGTTCTTTCACTAGGGAACTCTTTAATCCAGCTGAACACTTTTTGATGAAGTCCAAGTTTTTTGAGTTTGTGCAACAGCTTATTGTGACTGAACCTTATCAAAAGCCTTAGTGAAATCAAAATATATCACATCCACGGACTTCTTATTGTCCAATGCGTTTGTCCAATCATTGAGTGACTCCAGCAAATTGGTGATAACAGATTTGCCTTTAACGAAACCATGCTGGGAAGCAGGAACTACTTTGTTTTGATCCAGATGGCGGAGAATGTGGGGCTTAAGCAATTTCTCAAAAAGTCTACAGAAAAAGGAGGTGATACTTATTGGCCTGTAGTTAGAAATATCCGAAGAAGGTGGTTTTTTCAAAATCGGGGTGATGTAAGAGTGCTTCCAGAGTCTAGGAACTTCCGAGAACATCATTGACTGATTGAATAAATATGAAAGAGGAAACGCAATAGCATGGGCTACATTTTTGACAAATACAAAGGGGATATGGTCTGGAGTGATAGAATATGACATAGGCCATTTGACTAAGGCGTCGTAAATGTCGTTGGGATCAAAATGAGGGAAAGTATTCATTTCACTTGAAATCGACGGTGAAAATGGCGGCAGATTATCATCGTCCTGCAAAAATGATTTACTGAACACAGCTGCAAAAGCATTCGCCTTGTCGATGTCATTCAAAAGTAATCTTCCGTTGTCCTTTAGATCAGAAAGCTGTGCCTTGGTACGAAGTCTAGATTTCATAAATCTGAAGAAATCGATGCTTTTCTTTAGACTCGACTATTTTCTTTTCGACGCTTTTATTAAACTTTACTAGTTTATCCGAAAACGTGGAAGAAAAAGTCTTGTACTCTGTCCAGTCACCAGTCGACTTTGCATAATGTAAAAGACATTCTTTGTGTTCTAACATGTTCTGGAGGTAGGCTGGTAAATTGGACTTATTTGGAAAGACATATGCCCAGGGAACAAATTTGTCTATAACATCTTTGAGTATTGAGAGAAACATAACATATTTCTCATCACCGTAGAAACTGATTCAAAAGATTCGATCCATAAAATGTTGAAAAGATAGTTTGTAATGCTTGTATAGTCACACTTAGAAAAAAGCCTTTTCAGAACTGGTACAGTAGGAAGCAAGCTTCTCATTATTTCGAAAGAGATACTCAAATGGTCGCTATGGCCAATCGATGAGTTGACGGACACATTGCTCAAAAGTTCATGATCGTTTGAGAAAAGTAGATCTAAAATATTGTTGCCCCTGGTGGGCTCTTTAATGTATTGTTTAAATCCGTGCGAAGCAAACATAACTGATAGTGGATGAGGATCTTCCTTCCAGGAATCCCACTGTGCCCAGTTGATTTCCGGCAAGTTGAAATCACCTAGTACTATAACGGGAAATGACACAGTTGTCAGATCGCTAACTGCTTTTGCTAACTGCTCGGAAAGAAGAAGGGGTTGAGGAAGGGGGTCTGTATATCAGTACAATCCTTAGACGAAATTCGGGTGAAGCGACATCCGCCGCTAAGATTTCATACCCTCTGGGAACTGACCCGGATAATGATTGTATGATTTAATGTGTTCCTTATGAACATCGAAACTCCACCCCCGGCTCTGTGACTCCTGTCGCACCTCAACACAGCATAGTCATTGATCCAATGATTGACGCATAGATGTCATAGAGTGGTGGTCTTTTAACCAGGTTTCGGTCAAAAGATACAAATCATACCTGTTAGAAGTGACGTGATCAAGAAAAACTCTGTTCTTGGGCAAAGACCTGACATTACAATAGAAAACAGTCAGACGTAAGAACGAAATGAGACTAGAATTACCATTTCCATTGCTAGGAACATAAAACCGATGAGGGGAACTCAGTTTCCCTGTGAAGTTGACATGGTTTGGGACGTATAGTTTGGGTTACACGAAGCATTATGAGGATGATTGACTTCTAAACGATGTGAGCGTTCCTCCCGGCGTCGCCTTCTCTCCTCAGCAGAGAGCGACTCCCTTAGGTAGACTCCTCTCTCGGGGAAAAAGCGAAGTCGGGCTGCGCGCCTCACTGCCACACGTTGGAAATACGAAGAAGGTAGAACAACCTTTAGCAATCTGTTTTTTCCTAAAATAGGGCGTCCTAATCTGTAGACCGAAATGGGAACACATTCAACTTCTAGATGTCCTAGAATATTAAGCACACTGTTGAAATCATAGAACAACTTCTTCCTTACAATAGGTTCCTTTAACTCAGGAACGCCTGCTATTACTATGGATCTACGTCTTTCGGCTTCAGCAAAATCAATACTATTGAAAGGAGTGCGGACAACACTAGGCTCTGTAGGAGGCTCAGCATGATTAAGAGAAGTATCATTAGAAATACCAAGTTTCTCACGAAGCATGGCATTCTCCTGACGGAGGCGATCTCGTTCTAGCTTGACATCGTTCATTTCCTTTATCAGGGTGTTGAGAACGATTTTGACGCAACCGGGAACGGCGGATGAGCTGTTGACCTCACGCATCAATTCCTCGAGACCAGGCGGATCCGCTACGGGAGAAAGTGGCGAGGTAGATGGGCAAGGTCGCTTGTTTCCTTTAAGCGGTACACGAGTAGGAGTATCCATTCAAAAACAAAAGGAAAACTAAAAAGATCAGATCAAATAGACCTGTTATTACGACCTCAGAATATGTATTGACCACGGGTCGTACGTGATCTGCGCTTGCAAAAAAGTCGATACAAACTGCCGCTGTATGCAGCGAATACGAAGGACGAATCAGATTTTAGCTGAGAAGTGCAGCTGGATTCAGTAAATAAGTGGTAGACTAATACCAGCAGATGATCCGTGCAGAAGGTATCGTTGACAGTAACTGGCAGGAACAGCAGAAAAACAATTCAGGATGATGGGTCGGGAGCACTCTCGGACCGACCGCTCACTGCCGGTGCACAATGATCCATGTTTAAACTCCTTTTTCAAAGTTTTAATTGAAACTTGGACTTGAACAACTTGAAAATGACACCAGTCGAATAGAACTCCAAAGCTCTCGGTATCCTGATTACAAATACAACACTTTTGACGCTAGTCCCATCTAGCGCCTATTTTCTACTCGTCTGCGTCCAATAGGATCGCGATCAGGGCTTAGCCTTTGGAAAGAGGTCTCCGAGGTGAGCAAGCCATTCCCGTGAGATCACATACTTGAACACTTGCCACATGGTGCGGGGCAGGGTCAAGCGAGGCGTCGAGGAAAATTCGGAAATACGACCCCCCTCCCTCTCTGCCGAAGGCCGAAGTCCATGAAACAACCCTCTTTAAAAGCCGAACTATGAAAAAGTTGTTTAATTCTCCACCAAAACTGCTCATAAAAAAGCCCTGCTACCCCATCGTCCACAAAAAAAACTCGTTTAAAAAGTATAAAAGTGAAAAAGTCAAAGAATGATCATTAATGACGAGTCCTGTCAAACGAGCAAACGAGAAACGGAGCAAAAAACGTCAAACTAGTCACTAGAAATGGCGTACTATGACAACACCTCTTCTTTGTTTATTTCCTCCACAAGACTTACCAAATTCTAGTACTACACAGATTATGGTTCTCAATTTACACGTCCCCTTTCGCTCAAAGGAAGCCTTGTAAAAGCCTTCGCCAGCTGTGTGTTGACTGGACTTTGGCGTTGACCGTGGAGCAGCTTATTTACTATTGAAATTTGAACAAATATTCAAATGATTATAACTTTCTTCAAAGTTAACGAATTTTCAATCTGAAAGCTGATTTGGAGTTTTGTGAAGAGCTTTTTCTAATCAGTACTGAAATTACAGGAAGTTATAAGAAATAACAAATTTAGATCAAATAACGAGGAAAATTCGAGACGAGCACGAGTTTTTACACTTTCCGGAGCAATAACTTGCTTCATTTCCGTCAAATTCAAAAGTTGATACGTCATACAAAACTAGAAGATTTTCTCTATCAAACGGTCGCTAAAGCAGCTTCATACGTCCAGTACTCAAAAAATGGCCACGTTGAGGATTTTTGCAAAATTAAAGTTAATACGTCATCATAAACTAGAAGATTTGCTCTTTCTAAGGCAACTAAAACTGCTAAATACGTTCACTATTTAAAAAATGGCCACGTTGAGGATTTTTGCCCGAGTACCGCCGAAAGGTACTTTTTCGCTACATTAGCACTATCCCAACGACTATAGCTCCTTGCAGGAGCGATTACATACTGAAGTAGGAGCAGATTCAAAATCCTCGTGCTTTTCTCTCTGCAAAAAGTGTAAAATTGTTTAGCGGGTCTCAACTTTAAAGGTTACATGCTTGTGAATTTGACGCTGAAGGCTGCGTTTCTTGTTGAATAGTGTACTCCTCTCTGTAATTTAACATGAACTCTTTCAGAATCCTCTTGATTCTTCCTGAATTAAGATTCGTTATCAAGATAGCCGTAGCTGAAGCGCGCGCAACCAACTGGGCCCACTCTGGGATGCGCCGTGTGCTTCACATCTCGTTGGATTTGAGGACCTACTTGAAAGATAAAATATCCCTAGAAAACGTGCGAATTTCGGATTGTGTGGTGATGAAACACTAAAGTCACTAAGAATTGCTAAGCGGACACCTCTAAATCACGAAGATTTTGTGTGGACGGAATCAATTGTTATTGGAAATACTCTGGCCTGGTATCGATTCGATCCTTAATGTTTGTCCTCCGACGATGATCCTACTGTATCAATCGGGCCCGATCTCTCCCCAGCGGGCCAATACGACCCCCCCCTCTGTGACATGTCGAGGATTCCTCAACGCACGCTTGACCCTGGTGGGGGTTTTATCCATCCAACTCGTCGCTAAACCTACAATAAAAAAAGCTCCGGACGAGTTCTAAAATGGGTTCTTCGTTCTTGTTTGTCTGTTTTTTCTGAAGGCAAGCTCTGTAATGTTAGGTCGGTTCCATAATTTTTGAGAACCTTTGGTGTTTTTCGACTTAATTACTTATCTTATTTCTCTGATGTATTTATTCAGCATAGTATACATCACCATTATTACCAACATATAACCAATGCGAGGGTGGGTATTCAGTGTCTCTCTTGTAGAATTTCATAGAGTTCTGATCGAAGAAATATTGGATGTCGATTTTGACTTTATGGTGATTCAAGTGAGATTTCTTCTCCAGAAGGTGATTGAGAGAGGAGAGCGGATAGTCGTTCGTTGACGCAGGATTAGTGCTACAAGGCGGAGCTAAAAGAACTGACCGCCCGAGAGTCTCCAATTTATAAAAACACTGACTTGTACATCGGCTGGCCCCCGCAAGTCATTGTATAGGCCACATCGCATTCAAACGCCACTACGAATGTACAAATGGAAGTAGAATGCGTGCCGCATCCCAAAAAGGGATTGATCAACGGCAAATGCTTTATCCTTATCCTTTATCCGAAGAAACTATAGGAAACCTACAGGAACTTGATGATGTCGGATTGGGTTGAGAACTGATTCGGGACTACAATTTTCCTAATAGAATAGGAGGAGAGAGACTCTCTTATGATACTAGAAGTGGGGAGAGGTCTGAAAAATGAAAGGAAAGCAAGAGAAATCTTCGACAACATCCTGAATAAGCACTCCCTCCATTCAGCCACGAAAAAAGCAGAAGCTACCCCCGAAAATGTCTAAAATTATGACCTCGTTAGTTTACAAGCCAGGGCTGGGAAAATTACGTGTCTGAACGTGTTCACAGCAGCTGCTGGCTCCATGCCAACAACCGACACGACCATTAAAGTCAGCAGTGGGAATTGATTTCTTCTAATGTTCCTATTTTTTGTGCTGACCGCAATATAGGTTTTGAACGTTGAAGTTGGCAGTGAAAATCTGCAAAATATTCCCCTACGACTTCCAAACAACGGCTTGACATCTAGTGTTCCAAGTGTTTGGAAGGTCGCGTGGAACAGTGGGCGGGCTCAATGGGGTTGGGGCGGCGCCAATGCTCCAACCTAGGCTCCTAGCGCCTAAACCTTGTCAAATCGCCCCGCCACTTCTGCACATGGTCCGCGCTTGCGTACTGCTGCATATTTGACGGGGAAAAGCTAATTTTCGACCAATTATCCCGAACTTTGCCTCTAACGAAAACATGCTTGAAAGGTTATTCCGGAGCGTAGTCACCAGTTTCAAGAACGCTTCCATTTGCTTGGCAGTCGGCCGATTCACGGGTGAAGAAGTCACGATTTTGGAGACGATCCACGCTCTAACATCGGCCACCAAGTCATCCAGCTCGTCGTAAATTTTGTTCGTTTGCCAGTTTTTCAACGACTGATTGAAGTGGTAGTCTGTAGGAGCTTCGGTCGGTAAATATGGCGTTTTGAACCTCTTGAACCATCTTTCAACTTGGCTTTTGCTGATTGTTCCCTCGCCGAAAAGTTCGTTGAGATCGCGAAATGACTCTGCCGCCTTTAACCTTTCTCGAAGAGGCAGAGCATATGTGGCGCTATTTAGATGAGTTCCGATAAGCATTTTTGTTGATGAAAGTGAAAAATATCCTTACGAAAAAGTAACGAACAAAACGCCAATAAAGATAAAAGGATAAAGCATTTGCCGTTGATCAATCCCTTTTTGGGATGCGGCACGCATTCTACTTCCATTTGTACATTCGTAGTGGCGTTTGAATGCGATGTGGCCTATACAATGACTTGCGGGGGCCAGCCGATGTACAAGTCAGTGTTTTTATCCTCCCAGACAAGTCTGGTACCAATTAACCGACCCCGGAGGGATGGAAGGCTTGGTTGGCCCGGGCGACTCACGACCCAGGATTTGATCCCCGGACCGCTCGCGTGGTGAGCGCGCCACTTGTCACTACACCACTTCCGCCCAAAACTAAC